AATCCAGAATAACTCACTTATCTTACTGGCAGAATACTGGCTCACAATCTCCCAGTAACACAAGCACAAGTAGACACTAAATGACAAAAGCTGGGAAGCCCACCCTGAACAGCTGATGTAAACTAACAAAGAAAATTGGAAATAAAATGTAACTAAATTAAACTAATAACGCACAATCCCATAATTCAACCGTTCTTATACACATCCACTGAATGGATCCCCATGCCCAAACACTCAGCATACATTATGGGTTAGAAAGCAAGATCTGGTCTGAAGTACAGAGAATTCTAGCCAGCTTGTGGACAACAGGGCCCCATGCTGCAGACAATGGACTCTAGAGATGGAGCAAAAGGTCAGGTGAAAAAAAGCAGCATGGGTTGAAGATTTTCCAGGAGCCAATGGGGCTCTCTGTAAGGGAGACACCTACTCTAAGCCATGTCAGCCACATCTACTCACATCTACTCACAGTCTCCATTCTCCTGTCTGGGGAGAATGCATTTCAGAGGAGAGTGAGACCAGCCAACCTGTTTCCCCTTGTAAGAGTGTCTCCTCTTTTGATCCGTAGCATTTTCCATGAAGTCCTTTCAGGCAGTACACCCGGCCTTAGCTCCCTCAACAACCAGCAATGGCCGGATCTTGCAGCAGATGAGCTGAGTGATCTGGCGATGCCCTGTGTTCTACTCACAGCTCCCCATCAGATTCTGCTATACTTCAGTTCTCAGTCTTTTACTTTCCCTCCTGGTCTACTTCCCCCTCTCTGGCGACTGTTCCCAGAAGCAACAAGTGGATGCTGAAGAGGTGGGTATGACAAGCAGGGTCCAGATGCCCCAGGAATAGAACAGGGGGATCAGAAACCCAAAGAATAAACAATTGAATCAGTTGATTGCATACATTATTATTATACTATAAAAGTGTATCAAGGAAGGGCTTATGAAAGCTGATGACCCTCTTCTGGTCATTAATATTACTGGGTGATGTATGTACGGTTAGTAGGTAAAGAATTATGTATGTGTGTTGGAAATATGTTTCTCAAATGTGTTCAGACCAAAACAAGCACCTAAGTAGAACAAATAAACAAGTTTGTCATAGACTAGTTTGTCAGAGACACAGCAAAGTTGTTTTTCCTGTTTACATGCGTATCCGATGTAAATTGAGCAAGGTGAGGCCAGAGACAGAGACAATGGAAGTAGAGTAAAACCTGCCTGAGAGACCACCTGTCACAAGTGACTACTTGCAGACGTCACGGAACATCATCGCTCTCTGGTGTGCAAACCTTTGGAGAGAGACCATCTCTTACAAGTGACCACTTTTGCTCCCATGAGTGGTCACAACTGGCAGGTTTTACTGTACATTTGGATCTAAGGAAAACAAAGCAACCAAGTCAATCAAGAAAGCAAGTTAACCAGAGGATGAAAAAGGGGGTTGGCACTGGTACTCCGAAGAACGAGCAGCAGTGGAGAGAAACTTGGTCTGGGTTTATTTTTCAAAGAGTACATTTCTTCCATTTTATAGTTCAGAAAACTTTTGAAAGTGAACCCTGTTAGTTATCCATCAGTTAGGGAACAAAGGGGACAGCACCCTCTGATTCTGTAAACGTTGGCTCCTCCTACCAGGAAGGGCTGGAGATGCTGTTAGCTTGATGTAAGTGAGAACACTGTTCAGGAAAAGACATAGCTTACTAGAATTATGTTTTAGGCATTAAAAATTGTTATTTTTGTTTTGTTTGTAACTGTATTGTCTCTTTTCCTCTTACTTAGTATCACTTAAATCTCTGCTCTTTAACAGTAAAACGTTTTTCTTATAAACCATTTCAGTGTTGTTACATTAAAGTAAAGAGCAGGGTTTCTTAAACTGGGGGTCACGAGCTGTCAGCCCTGGGCCTGGTGGGACTGACAGCCTCAGCTCTGCCAGGTGCAGGGCTGACAGCCTGAGCCCCGTTAAATTAACCCCCACCCCCGTTTTTAATCTATAAGAAAGGGGGTCATGTTCAGAAGGTTACTGTGTGAACGGGGTTACCAATACAAAAAGTTTGAGAACCACTGGTAAAGAATGAGTCCTCAGCTAACCTGTCAGGATGGTGTGTGAATGGTCTCTTTGGAGGAAGCGAACGTAACTTCTACTGAGTGTCCAGTGAGAGGGACTGGATACTGCAGAGTGCAGTCTCTGTGGAACTCAAATTGGGGTTCACTGATTGCAAGGACGGTTGATACTGGCAGAGTCTTGAGGAGTTCGCTGGTGAGGTACACAGATTGGTGTGGCAGGGAGCCAACACAGTTTATGCCTCAGCACAGCTCTCCCTTGCGGAGGTAAAATGGTAACATGTTGGCTTATCATTCTGGGAGTCCTGGGAAGAGTATCACAGTGGAACACGGAGTTTGGAACAAGAGCCCAATCAGAAGCCACTGGGGCAGATTTTCTTTAGGAGTCACTGCTGCAAATTAGCCTGTTTTATAGGGTTCCCCTTCGCTCTACAGAGACATACCGACAGTGCTCCCAAACAGATGTAATCCGCATGGGATTTATCAAAGTCTGACAAATGACTGTCCATATTTTATTACCTTTGTTTCCAGCACCATAGAAACTTGAATAGAAGAGTCAAATATTTCTCTTTTACTGGCAACAATGGTGGAGTGGTACCAAAACCACTGCTATTATTATGTACTGGAGGGCCACAGCACTGGGCAAATCTATACAGCTGAGTTTCTTGAATCCAAAAATCTCCAAATTGGGAATGTTCTGAGTCTGATCTGGATTCAGATTTGCAGGTCGGGGCCACCTCCAACATATAGTAAGGAAATATGATCCCTGTCCTTAGGACTGTTTATAAACTAATAAAGACACAAACCAAACATAACATAGTACATAATCAGTGCTAAAACGGACTGGGTGAATGGGGTCTTCCTAGAAGACTTAGTGCTTAAGGGGTCCAGCGATTTCCTAGGGGATAATCTTCTTCTCATTTAATCAAAACTACCTCCCTCTAGACAACCCCATATAATAGACAGCAATAGTTTCCAAACAAAGGAGTGGAAGGGGTCCCTTCCTATGCAACCGTTATGATGAGCTGTTATGAAACATTCATGTAGGAAGGGCCTGATATTAGTCCCAATTTGATGTCCATAGGAGCTTTGTAATCGACTTCAACAGGATTGGGATCAAGCCCTAATTAGCCTCCTAAACCCAAATGCTTAACTTCCTCCACGACCTGCCTTTGGTCTTCCAGGCTTTGGAACGGATGATCCCAGAGTACTTTTGAATCCAGACCTCTTGTGTTACAGCACTACCACCAAACCCACAAATTCTCCCATGTACTTTGGGCATCATATTATTAAGCCTTACAGGAAAGATGCAGTGCGGAATTTCTATAACGATGTTTCATAATTCAAGTCTACTGATATAAGCTGCATTCAACATTATTGCTTATCCTCAATTCAGACCCACCCTCCCCCCCACCCCCCGCAAACAAATGGCCAACAACAGCAGGAAGTAAAAAGAAAAAAAGTTACAGACTGGTGGAAATGTCTCAATACAGCCACGTGACAGGCAACATCCAAGCTCCACATAATGAAATTCATAAACAAGCCAAAAAGCATATACCAGTTCACGAGTGGTTTCTGGATCACTAAACTTTTATTTAGTTCTCTCATAGTTTGCTTTTTCATTATATGTGATTTTTGATCACTCCATTGCACTGCTGCATCCCACATCATGCCCTAAACCAAGAACACCATCGCATAAATTCTGCATACATCTCGCCCACTCTGATCCATGAGTAGGTGTTTTAAGAAAAGCTAGGTCAGGCATGGTTTACCCTAAATGCAGCGTTATTCACAGGGGCTGGAATCAGACTTAAAACACCCTTGTACAGCCATGGTGCTAACAGCATAAATCCAGTTGTTTTATGTGCATGTCTTTTTGGAGCTGGGATTTGAGTTTTTTCTTGACAGACAGAATAAAAGGAAGAGAAAAAGAAGGAGAGTTTCAGCCTTGGGAGAGGAGCTTATTTACTTTGCCTGCTACTGTGTCTTTGTTCTATACAAATCCAAAGCACATCAGCGATTCAGTAGTGGGTCCCAATGTGCAGGAACAGGGAGTCATGTAACAGCTGTAATTAGGCTCGGAATGGAACAGAAGCCCTTCATTTGGCATTCCCCTTCAGCAGGATGCATTTTGATCCCACTTAAATTTTATGAGTTTGAAATTAACTCCCAGCAGAGCCCAACCTTTCAGAAAGTTAAATGTCCCACGGGCTGCTCATTTAAAATTTCATCTGCGATGGTTCCAGAGGATGAAAACGTGTAAGTAACGCCCAGCATGGCCCCACTGAAAATCATCTGAGGAAAGCACTAAGCATGTCGGAAATTAACTGGCCTGCTCCTCAGCCTGAGGGTTGGAAAGTCCACGTGCAGACATGAACCAGGTGAGCAGCAAACAATGAAATTGGGATTGGTAGTGAGAGACTATGCGCAGTCATGAGGAACAAAGAGTTAGCAACCTGGTGGAGAGCAGCCAAGGAACAGAGACAGAGGCATAGGAAGAAAAAGAGACAGAGTATGCAACTGAAAACTAGAGAGGCACAGGGAGCGAAAAGAGAGCAGGCTTCTGGGCCCAGAGACTAAGAGGATGCCTGGGAGCAGAGCAGAGTGCAACGAAACATTCAAATCCTTTCCAATGTCTCCCATCCCTATTGTTCTAACTAACAGGGATCTACTGAGCACATTAAACTTAGGGAATGATGTTCTGTTCTCCGCCTCTGTTCTCACTGACTTCAGTGTCAAGTAGTTGTGCACATCTGAAGGCAAAACTTGTCCCAGGAGAAGGGTCTACGGCTGGGGGGGGGGGGGAGGTGGAAATAGAGAAATACTCCGGCATTTCTCAAACACACCATCTGAAATTCTAACAGGACGTCTATGATACAAAATTTAAGGGAATTTTTTTTGTTTATAGTCATACACAATCCAGTCTGTATGAAAAAACTGTGTTTCAAAGAGAGCCCTTACCATTATTACTGTTATCATCCACTAAGATAATTTCTTTGAGCAGGTGATGAGGAGTCCGGTCAATAGCAGAATGAATGGAGCGCAGAATCACTGAGAGGGCTTCGTTAACAAATATGAAAACAATGCTGACCTCAGGAAGGCTGTTGGGAAATGTGAGGTTTCTGCACCTGAAAATAAAATACAATAAATGTAAACTGCTGTAAGTTTCTGAGATCATTATAGCTGCGTCTATATTGTGATCGCTGGTGGGAGATTTCCCAAAACTGCCTGTGACCTAAACTTCAGATGATTCTCTCGACCTCTTGAAACTAAATCTGGCTGGAAATCATAGAAGAACAGAGATTCTCTTGGTATTTTAATATTTCTCCCCTCGCCCCATGACAAAAAGAAATCTCACAAGCAGGCAAAAATGAAAAATATGTTTTTATAAAACTAACTAAAAATATTTCCAGGTCCAGAAGAGGCTCAGTTTTAATTTTAAGCAAATTGGTTCACCCATCTCTAATAGTCACACCAAAAACAAGTTCACACAGCATCCACCACCATTAGTTCTTATGCATCAGTACAAGAAAGTAGCAGTTACGGTGGTATTTAGATTGACTGATCTCTCCTTGCAGTGTGATCCTTTGGCTACAGATCAAATCCTACTTTCCATAAGCCAGCTCCTATTTCTGCTGATGTGTCTGCCCCTTCCTTCTACTCATAACAGGACTTTCAGTTGCAAGGATCAAATTGAAATGTATTCTTTTATTTTCTTTGATATTTCCAAAAGGCCTGAAAGAATGTCACACCTTTTTGAGCATCACTGCACTGCAGATAAAAAAAAAAAAAACACAAATGTGGAGTGCCACTTATAATCAATTACGGTACCACTTGACTAACTACCTCGTCACTGAATGCTTGGTAGTTGCTCTATTCTCCAAAGCTTAATAATTTGCTTCCATGAGCTTCTGATTTGGGAAGAGGACTGTTTTATGATGCTATATACCATGATCTTTCTGAGGAAATGACTCCGACAATTTTAGTCACACTGATCCTTACAACAGAATTTCACTGTACTTTGAAAATCACTGGTCACCTTTTTAGCAAGGGATCAGCTCAACATCTTATTACATGCCTGATCCTTTCAGGTGCCAAGTACCTGTAATTACCATTGGTTTCAGCTGGTATTACGTACACCACCTCATAAGCACTCAGCTCCTTGCAGGACTGGATCTCTAAGTATATGTAATTCCACACACACGCGCGCGCATACTCAATTGAATGTGCAATTCTATACACACGATTAAGAGTGTATACAAACAACAGACTCCACAGAACCACATGCACAAAATTGCATAGACATATTTAGAGGCTACTGAGCAGCGATGTTCCCTGTAAACTGTGTGGCTGCAGAGCAATCTTGAGCATATGCACAGGTCAGAAACCAGGTTATTCACTTCTCCTCTGTGATGCCCCAGCAGGGCCATCATGTGGTCCTTTAAGAACCTGCTGTGCTCACTGCTCGGCCAAGGTCAGGGCATGTGTGACTCCAACCTCCTTGCTGTGAGGGGAACGAAAGCGCTTCCGGTCTCAGAGACATGCTCACCCAGTCCTGATGGGGCCAAAGTACTGTGCACCCCCACCCCAGTGACTCAGCGGTCGCTGCTGCGGGGAGGCAGCCAGGGAGGGAACTGTGGCCTACGCCCTTTCTGGGAACAGCTGGCAGGGGCCTGAAACTCCCAGCCAAGGGGACTCCTGGCAGGGCTCCCAGTGCTGATGCTGCAGAGCAAATGGTGGGAACAGGGACTAGTGTGTGATATTGGGGAGGAGACACACCTACAAAGCCCTCACTACATACACCCTCCACCACCACCCAGACACGTGTAAGCTTACTCTAGGACAAAAATGTAGTGCTCACTGGAGTTTGCAGCCCGCTCAGTAACAACAACAACAACAACAAAAAAAAGAAAAAGAAATCAGACGGAAATTTGCTGACCAGATTCTGATCTCAGTTTCACCAATGTATACCCGGAGTGCATCTATTTCATTGATGTAACAGAGTGGAAATTGGTCTGTTTGAAAATTAGGCTCCAAATGAAGTACACTGTAAACAGTCCAACACACACTAAAATAATTATCAGCGTCAGCCGAGGAAGATGCTTTTGTTTTATCTACTATGTCAGTGTCTCCAACATATAGACAGAGATGTACAAACACATCATCATGGCATAACAAGCCAAAAGCGACAGTGATTCTTTCTTTCTGCTGTGTAGCTGTGGGAGTCAATTACCAGCGATACTGTAGCACAGAAAGAGAAATGAAGAAGAAACAGCACCAACAAAATATAGCAAAAGACTTTGCTTAACAGACAAAAAAAGAACAGTTTGATTTGGTGAAGAATATTTTCAAAGCCAATGAACAAGTGCTGAAAACAACAAGTTTAAAAATAAAGCCTTAATCAGACGCAATAGTGACTTTCTCTCTCCAATGCCAGTTGGATGAAGACTTATTGCCGTTTTGTGAAACTCACTGAAAATACAGCTTTGCTGAAGACTACAGTTAGTTCATCCGTTAAACCAGCAAAATTTAAAAAAAAAAAAAAAAAGTTGCAGCCCTTTCATAAACTCATACAGACCAGAATCTCCAAACTGAATTCCTGCTTCCCCCTTTTCTCTCTCTCCCGTAAGAGATAGAGAGTTGGGACTTATTTTTTTCCTGGCTATATTTGTTTACACTTTTTCAAATTAATCTCACTGGGGCTGATCCTCCATTGCCTAGCACCTTGGACAGTCATTTATATCAATGTAAAGTACATGCAAACTGACTGCCATAGTGACTCAGTAGCATTTTACATTCATTTTGTGCTAGTAAGTGACTAGAGAGCATGCAGGGAACGGAGAATCTGGCCACAATTGTTTCTAATCCCTCCAGTCCCTTTTGCATTAATTCTTTTCCCATCATTGATGTATTCTGGCATCTTAAAAGGAGTTCATGATTTTTTTTTTCCATTCAGGCCCATGAGTGGTTTTCACTTCCAGAAGGAATCCACTTCCCTTTTTTAATGTTCAAGGCCCCTAAGAAAATACGTTTCCCTTCTATATTGTTTACATTGGGCATTCATGTCCGAGAGAAAGCGAGAGAAAGAATGACCTATTTATTTCACTTACAAACTGGATTTGGACCTAAATATCCAGGAAACAAGGCATTTATACACTTGCACATCTATCACTATCCTATTCTTTGGGGAATTTTATTCAGTAAGAAACACAGCATAATTCAAGCTATGAACCACCAAGTAAAAGGCGTGGGGATGGTTAAAATGTACACTGAGGAGCATATGTATGGGAGGGTATGACATGCTCAAAACCTTGGGACCAATAAGCTCTAAGAACAGGGTGATCACAACACAGCAAGTATGAACTTCTGAATTCTAATGCTAATTCTGTCTCTCTGACTTACGTGGCCTTGGGCAAGATACTTAACATGCCTATGGCCCACATTCCCTATTTGGAAAGTGGAGCTAACACCAGTAACCCTTCTCACAGGGGCAGACTTGAGTATAGAGGCTATGTCTACACTGCAGTTAGACACTTCCAGCTCACCTGTGCCACCAGATTCAGGCTCGCGTGGATTGGGCTGAGGGGCTGATTAATTGCAGTGTAGACTTCCGAACTTGGGCTGCAGCCTGAGCTCTGGGACCCTCCACATCATAGGGTCCCCGAGCCCAGGTGTCTACATTTACAATTAAACAACCTTGCAGCCCAAGCCCCACAAGTCCGAGTCAGCTGACACAAGCCAGCTGCGGGTTTTTAATTGCACTGTAGACAAACTCTTAGTAGTTACTGTAAAGCTAATGTAACTGTTGCCATGGTTATCAGAAATTTACAGAAATTTCTAACATTCTATTTCCAGCACAACTCTTGTAGAGGATACATGATGATTCTTCTTAAGAATCTTTGCACATAAAGAAAATCTATCCAGCCAGGCACGTACAATAGTGGTAATAAAGTTCACTCAGCCACAGTAAAATCAGTATCAGAGGGTTTCGGAGTAGCAGCCGTGTTAGTCTGTATTCGCAAAAAGAAAAGGAGGACTAAACTGGTTAGTCTCTAAGGTACCACTAGTACTCCTTTTCTTAGCATCAGAGGGGCAGCCGTGTTCGTCTGTATTCACAAACAACAAGGAGCCCGGAGGCACCTTAAAGTCTAACAGATTTATTTGGGCATAAGCTTTCGTGGGTTAAAAAAGCTTATGCCCAAATAAATCTGTTAGTCCTTAAGGTGCCACCGGACTCCTTGTTGTTAGTAAAAATCAGTGTCCCTGTTCTGTGTTCTAGCCACTGGATCACACTGCCTCAGCAACAGTACTTTTCTACAGGATGATAAATGGCATATTATTAGTACTGAGAAAAAATTCAGCATGGGTGCAGACACCGGGGTGGAGAGGGAGAGAGAGCCAAAGGGTGTGGATGGTTTTAGGCCTCCCAAAAATGTAGGGATTACATTCATAAATAAAGGAAACACTACATCTGGACCAGAAGTTCATTTATCTCACTGGATTAAAAGAGGACAAACATAGTTATGGCACAAAACTATACCTGGAAGCAACATTAAACAGCTATTATTTTATTACTTTTTAACTCTAGCCCTCCCAAATAAAAAAAAAAAGTCTATATGCCCTTGTTCAGAAGTGATGAATCTCTATGACGACCAAATGGAAGGGTGAATGATTTCTGATAAAATAAGAACTGATGCAAATCACAGACTGAACCAGAACTGTTTTCATATCTTGGGAAAGATTCAAATTGGTTATCATCCAGAACTGCAAAGCTAAGTCAGAATTACTGACAAATAGCCTGTTCTCGTGGGCTATCTGGGGAAGTACAAAAAATCTTGGTCATATGCGAATAACTCTGCTAGCACATGGTTTAGAGAACTTGATGTCCGGTCCTAATTTTTGACAGTGAATAAACAAAGATGGGTATACAATTACTTGTGTGACTAATTTGTATACACATACCATAACTGTATAATTAAATATGGCCAACACTTGTGATATCACAGTTTAGAAAAGCAGGGCTTAAAATAATTTTAAAATAAGAAAAGATAAGCAGTCAGAGAAACTGTGGCTGATAATTAGATACAAATTCAGGGGAGAATAAAAATAATTAGTTTTTGGACATTTG